GCGGTCGACAATCGTTAATGCGTGTCGGAGTAGACTAGGCACGAAAGTTGGGCCAAGGACGCGGGCAGACGAGGCGAAGCGACCTTGTGCAGCAATCGGGTCGAAGCGACAATGGTAGGCATGCGGGCCCAAGTTTTCGTGTGCGTAGAGGTTTCCGCATCGACAGCAACACACTTGCGGGAAAATGCTCATGGATGCATGCAGGAAGACAGGAAGCCAAAGTCAGGTGCGCAAGAGTGTTGCAAGCGAAAGGCATGCGGACAGGCAGCAGGACGTGGGAGACTGCACGTGCGGGTGCCTAGGAAGGCAGGATGAGGGCTCTGATTCGTATGATGCACAGGGTATCAAGCCGGGGCAAGAAGGCAACAGGCCAAGGCGCGAGGCGGACGTTGCATTTGGGCCAAGGGTGCTCAGAGCGCGGGGCGCGGTGGCTGTGCTGGACGCAGAGCGGCAGGATTGGATCTGCATGCATGAGCCGAGACGTGAAGGTAGCTGGGCTGAGTATGTCGTGTTGTACACGTGGAACGGGACGCGGGCCAAGGAATTGTTGCGACCCATGACCCCGAGTTTGAGATGTTGATGATAACAAATAATGTCGCCTGAACTACTCTTCATTGAATATCATTTATTGTTGGCTATTGTCCGTGAGTACTAATATTTCAGGAAGATCACAAGCCACTCAGGACAACGGGAAGACTCAAGACTAGTTAAATTAGGAGTATGAGTCTGACAATGTAATTTGTTAATTATTTTATTTTTTATTTTCTTGAGTCTGGCCACAAAATGCAAGTGAGTCTGAGCAATCATGCACACACACATGGAGAGAGGGTTTTTAAAAGTAAAAAATATAGTTTTTCATTGTCTGTTAATCGTACTGTACTAAGTTATTTCGTACTATACGATATTATATTATAAACGTGTTCTGTGAGCAAATCGTACGGTACGAATACTATCGTACTGTACGATGTGTTACAAATTGAAAACCCTAGCCGTCACATTAACTTAAGTAAGTTATTCTGCGCCGTTCGTACTGTACGAAAATCTTTGTACTGTACGCTCTATTTTAAATACTTACTTTAACCAGTGATTAGTGCAAAAAATCAAGGCTTAATTACAAATTAAAAATCGTACTGTACGAACACATTTGTACAATACGATGAACAGAGACGAATTCAGATCGTCCTAGAGATCGTCCTGGACGATCCCTTGTTTTTGTCTCATCGTACTATACGATATAGATCGTATCATACGATGAACAGAGACGAAATTTGAACGTCTCGGAATTCGTCCTGGACGATGCCTTGATTTTCACCATTCGTACTGTACGATATGTATCGTACCATACGATGAACAAAGATGACATTTGATAGTCCCGACTATCGTCCTGTACGAGCAGTAGTGTTGAGGATCGTACTGTACGATTAGATTTTGAACTATTCGTACAACTTCGTACCAAGACGAAGCCTATTTATACATGTCGTACTGTACGATGAGAAATCGTACTGTACGATTGTAACGGCTACTTTGAAAATTTCAGAGATTTTGGAGCTCGTTTTATGTGTCAAAATTGTTATGTTTTAAAAGAGAAAAAAAAGGAAGAAAACATGATTAGAGAAGAAAATCCTTGGGAGAGAGCTCTCGAGAAGTTTTGAGGGGTTGAGAGAGGAAGGAGAAGGTAAGCTTGGTGAGGGAGAAGAGGTGTGAGGGAGATCACATGGTTGCTCCGATCTTGCTGCATCTTGCTCCTCCTGTGGCCCGGGAAGAACTTGAGGGAGGCTCTCTAAGGGGGAGACTCTTGTACATCTGTGACCTCAAGGTACTCTGCCTTCTCTAGGAGGGAGAAAAACGAGAAGGTTCTCTGCCGTCACCAGGAGGGTGAAAATAGCGCTTGGCACTCCGCCACGCCGAGTTGGTGAAAGGGAGTATTGTAAGGGCTTCTCCGCCTTGCCGAGGGGGGTAAAAGGAGAGCTATTTGTTGGTAGTGAAATTCTCGTAGCGGAGGACTCCGGGGAGTGGATGTAGGTCATGGTTTGACTGAACCACTAT